TCGTAAATTATAAGTTTGCAAACCGTACGTAAGTCACATTTGATCGGTAAAACAGAACAACTGCAGCATCCCTTTAATTTAGTCAGTCACATTGCTAAATCGGATTTTCTCTTTCGATCGAAGAAATCAAGTAATTTTTACATTCGTAAGAAAAGACAAGAGAAAAAAAAAATCGTGAATAACAAAGCAAAGAGAAAAAAAAGTTACATCTGCAGGAAGTTGCGCGTATGAGAATTAAAGAATATTGCGAGCCTCTCGCTTTTTTCTCACTGGTGGAATTGCGATCCGGATTTCGACATACGAGTTTTAATCATCTGCGTGTCACATGCTATCCCACAATGTCGTGAGAAACGTTCACTTCTTTTAACTCGCTTTTCTTTTTCTCTTATTGTGTTTACATCATATCTCTTTCTGAGCATCCATCATGGAACAAATCGGAATGGAATTCCAATCGAAATTATTCAATTATTCTCTAGATTTCTATTCTCCAGGGAAAACGGAATAATTTCGATCAGAATTCATGCCATGTTCCATTAATAGATACCCTGATCGGTGAATGTTTTTTTTGCTGTCGATAATGTAGATCGCATTCATCGGGATAATCAGAGACATGTTATCAGCGGTGTACACATAGTGGTCCTGTCGCCTTAGCAGTAGTCCTAACTTATCGGTTTGATTTACCTAGGCAGAGTCGATAAGAGAACAATGTTAAATCGTGTGTAATTATAGTATGTAAAAAGCGGTTTTAAAAGTTTTAGGATAGCAATTTCAATTTCCAAGATAAAGAACGGTTGTCCTGGACAATAAAAAAAAAATTGAAAACAAAAATTTGAAATAACTTTTAGAAGAAAATCCTTGTTAGAGCTTAAGCAATCAAAGCTTGCAAGTGCAAGATATTTGTTTTTGTAAATAAACAACATTTTCATTAAAAAGATTGAGCTGTATATCACTTAATATCAACTACATTGCGTCTTTTTTTTATTATTAATATTTATGTATTTTAAATATTAAGAGCCTGTGAATTGTCTTAATTAATTTTTTTAATTTTTGAAAAGTTATTGTGTTATTTAGTCGGTCAAACAGATGACTTTAGGATCCCTTTAATGGAAAAGATGTTTTATGAAGCTGCCGTTAGATGGCGGAAGGATTCTGTTACTTTGTAATTTTCGATTTCGCAAGAATAAGGGGCTGCGCACAATAAAAGGAACAGGGAATAGAGAATAGAGAATAAGAATTTCAATCTATCAGAAACTGTGTATTCACAATACATGATTTCTAGGTTGAAATTCTTATTCTCTGTTCCTTTTATTGTGCAGAGCCCCTAACTCTTACAGTCGTTTAGTTTGAATAAATCTACGATCCTCTCTCTCTCTCTCTCTCATTTGACAAAAAGTGGGAATAAAAAAAGTTAATTTAAGAACAATAATATAAATAATACGATCCATAATATAGCGTACAACTGAAGCAGAACACGAAAGCTAAAACTCATTATTTATTTATTTCTTAATAAGAGTTAAACAATTCTAACTCTTCAAAATTCTTGTATTTGAGTATATATTCCTTTTGAACTGTGAAACAAATAACATCATATTAAGAGGGAGTTTAATTATGGTTCTATTATTGTTATGATTATTTGTATTTCGTTTTAAGAAATCGAGAGAGTAACATGATTAATTATTTATGTAATAATTATGATTAAGATATTAGTATCGAGAGATTATTTTGTTACTGATTTATTCAAGATAAATTTCATTAAAGAAAGAAAGAGAAGAACTTTTTGCCTTGTTAACAATAGAAACAAATTGTCTATCGTTTTTTACTATGCTACTTTAAACGGCATATTTGTTAATCTTTATGGGAACCAAGCATTCTTTAAGTAGTAAATAATTATATGGTTCAGCATACGTGAACCGAAACTCTCCGAAACGCATCGCTAATTTCGCGCAACGCGATAAAACGAGACACGCTAGCGCAAAGGGTGAGATAGAGAGGACGGCGTCGCTTCCGGTCGGTCAGGTAAACGCACCGGAAGTTCGAACCATCGTATTCTGGCCAAATGGCCGGGAAGATTTTCAGATTTGTATGATCTTCGCCCTCTGTGCAGTGGCCGTGAAGATCGCAGATTTCATGTCACAGGTCTTTGCTTCCATAAAAAGTACCTAATCATTGTGCTCTTTGTGAACTAATCAACGAACGTGAGGAGTAAATACAAAAAATAAGGTTGACTGATAACTATACATCATAAAAATCGAATCGTTACGTTAAACCATATCCTGTCGATAACTATTTCATAGACTGCAGCTGCTTACAGCTTGTTAATCTACTCGTTATCTATTAACTGAACTCTATATTGTGAAAAAAAGTTCCAATATCGATATCCGCTATACGCTCATCCATTTTCGGCTATCAGCTTTTCTCGAGTTTCAACTAATCTTTCGCTCAATAAAAGATTATTACGTATCGTAACTACTACGCTTCCAAGCGTTAATTACTTCCTGGCATTCAGCATAATTATCGCAACATCAGTATAATTACACATTTTATCTCTTAAACGAGGTTAATCTATAGAATCGGTTCAATGAGCGAGTTTCAAGTGTAGCATTCGATTTGTTCATTAAACCAATTCAACCTATAATTCCTACTATTCTTCTAATTTGATTCATTCTTCGATTCGATCCATTCGCTATTATTAGCGTGAGTGACTGCAATATCGTTCGACTCATGAACGATTATTTTTATCGATTTAGTACTTTGAATTCTTTTTTTTAAGAGAAAATCCTTGTACGATTGATCGTTACCATTGAGAGAATATCTATCTCGCGAGGTTCATAACTTTTTTACGTCACGTATTTAAATAATGAGGGAGGGGGTGGATGAACAGTGTGATGCTTTCGAATTTTTGGGCGCAGGAAATTGAACAAAATAACGAAACAAAGAGGCGTGGACACAAAGAAACGGGAAGCCTCGTCGACAACGAAATAAGTCAACCACGAAAGGATATCCGGTATCTCTCGTTCTCTCTTTCTCTTTCTCCCCTTCTTTCTCTTTCCCTCTGGTTTTCTCCCCTCGGTTCTCGCCACAAACTTACGTTTCCTCTTGGTTTCACCTTCCGCACCACCTGTCGTTACCATGCGGATGTTAAAGGCTCACTTTGCTCTTGAAAAGCTGGTGTATGCGAACTAATTTCGATCTAGAAGCATCGAGTTTGTCATACAGTCTGTGTTATAGTCAGAACTGCGTTACTAGAGATCGTTATTTCCTATTAAAATTTACACTTTTGTAATACAAATAAGAAGGATATTTAAAATTTCTTGTGAATGACAGTTGTCAGGATTAATAAGTATAAGCGGTCTAGTTAATAAAATAAATTTTGGTTCGTCATGTATGACACATTCGAAAAAATTTACAGTTTTGATTTTTTTAATTATATTTAATTAACTACATGCACTGAAAAAAATTTTTGGTTATTTTTTATCCAATGAATGATCATTAATCAATATCTGACTTAATGTAGTTAATTCATTGATACAATAACTGGATTCATTTATGTAATTATATATTTATTGTTACAATGAATTCTAATAATAATTTCATAATCTAAACCATTATGAGAATTCATTGGATCAATTTCATTATTTTTTTATAATTTCAATGAATATTGCATTTACGTACAGTTTTGGTTCAGTGTGCGACTTGTGTAATTAGTATTTACGCACTGAAAGAAAAGATTGGTTGCTACAGTAAATTAGACGGTTAAATATGACATAGCATTTTTAATTGGCTGTAGCAATCAATTTTTGGTTGCTTTAGCCAATCGAAATCTTATATTGACATTGCTGATAGATTAACACAACAAACAATTGGCTGCAGCAAAAATTGGCTGTTGCAATCAATTAAAAATGCCATATATAATCATCTAATTTGCTGCAGCAACCAATATTTTCTTTCAGTAATTCGTACATAAATCAACATAAGAATTTTTTTGCAAAAATATATTTATACAAAAAAAATTCCTACGTTGATTTATGTAATACGAATCACGATAGATAGTAATTATTCAGGTGACAAAAGTTTCTGCGAAGAAAAGATTTTGTGTTATACCAACTTGTCTCTTCGAAATTTTCGGAACCTTCACGTGGCACCAGTCGCCGAGTTCAACCGGTCGGAAAATATAAAATCCGCTGTGTGAACAACCGTAAAATGTCGAAGAGCACGATCTGACCTAATTGATTGGGAATAGTTACGACTAGACAAGAGCGCGCGGTTTCAGGAAGAGTTTACGCGCTCGATGGCGACCATGGCAACGTTTGCGGTCCGATGGTGGGAGTTTTAAGAACGACAGACCGATGCGCCATGGGTGAAGAGGGCATAGTTAGAACAGTCGGGCGAGACGGGGGGTATGGCGCCGAGTACGACGCAATGACGGATGTAGAATAGGTGGAAGGCACCCTTTATTGTCATCGTCATTTGTTCGCTTGACGCCTAGAAAATAATCGCTTGAAATCGAAGAGGAGTACGTGAGAGAATGTATAGAAACAACACGTGGGAGAGAAATACGTATTCCTTTCTGTTTCATATTCTCAGATGAAAGTCTCAGAAAACGATTTATAATCCTAATGACGGCGATATACATATAACATGTTGGAGACTCTTAGCGCATCACGAATAAATGATCTTCCACGAATATTTCAAATGGTTGAAGTTTGAATTTGGAACAAATCGATGACACTTTCAATAGAAACAGCGAAAAGACAAGATTTACTTCTTTATTCGGGGAAAGCTGTAAATGTGATAGAATTTTATTTCATTCAGAGGCATTTCTTTCGATGGGTGGGAACATAAGAAATTTGCTCCGGTTTCCTCCAGTATACAGTTCAAGATTTTTTTTTCTTGTTAATGTCGTGTGTCCCCTTCCCTTAGGCTCCTCTCCATCCGGCACTGAGAGACGGCGAGCGTGCTCGCCGTTCGCTGCTAGTCGCGTCCAGTCGCGTCTTCGTACTCGCAGTGCGAGGTCACGTGGTGTCATTCCGAGTACCGTCCCGTTTCGCGCGTTGTCCTCTCGAGTCTCGCGTGCAGTCGCTCACGCGCGTTGCACCTTGTAAGATGTCGCGTGATTTTCTTGCATGATCGCTGACTTTCTATTCCGACCTCGCTCCGTGAGCCTCGCGTCGCCCACTAACGGCACTAACATCGCGACGTTTTCTCGAAAGCTGCGGCGTAAAATAAAATAAGAGAGAAGAAGAGAGGGGAAAACAGGTTGTTTCGGGAGTGCGAAATTCGGAGCGGTCGACGCGAAATGACAGCCAGCATGATCAGCGACGAAGATTATCGGCGCTGGACAACGGCGTCCGCATTCAGATCCGATAGGACACTCTAAAATTCTACGTTTTTTGGAATCGTCTTTTTTTCACAAGATAGACAGTGCGTCATCGAGAGGATTTTACATCATGAAAAACGCACCGCTTTGAATCGGTGTAGAATGCAATCGACGCTTTCTTCGTAATTTTATCGAGAAGCGTTAGCACGTACCAAAGACCGGAGTTGAATTCTATACATGTTAAGTCAGTCTCAAGATATCGCCGGTCCATACAGCTGACGACTTCACGCTTGACCGGTCGGAGTTCTTTTCAAAACAGACGGCTAATAAAATAACAAGCACGTTCTGGAGAAGATTTGTGTTCACAAGGCAAAAAATAAATCCTCTAACTGTTCAGAAGGTACGAAACTCGGACGGGATCCGAGATCTCAAGCCCGACGAATTCAGACCGAAAGCAATAACATAGACGTAGAGTATCATTGAATGAGGTGAAGTTGGCTGTGAATTCGAGCGCAACGTCGATCAATCGGAAGAAGTGGATTTTTTTAAACGGCGGTTTTTATCGTGACCGCACGTTATGATGGGGGTATTGAGATGGAGGCACGATCTCAGATCGGAGGCTGCGGCGCAGCAACAACAGGAACAGCAACAACAGAGAGCGGAGCGACCAACCGGACACAACAGTCACGCGCACACTTTCCCAAAGCTCTTGTCGCAGGTAAGTCGCTCCCCCACTTTCAAGTCTCAAGAATGCAACACCGATGCGTCCACTTAGATAAGTCGACATCTGAGGCGAACAGATTTTTTTCGGTGTTTCGATTTTTGAAATATAAAATTTCAAAATTAATGTTAATTAAATTTATAAATGAAAAGAATTGAAAGACCAAGAGAACGAGCAATATAAGAATGTCAAATAATTAAGAAATATGGATTTAAATTACAATATTTCGATTTAACTGAGTTTGCTTTAGTCATTAATACTAAATATGACATCAAATTCAAATGATAAGATCAGATCTAAACTGTTCGAAAAGAAACAGTTAAAAAAATGTCTTTGTTCTAAACATGAATTACAAATACCTTTATTGTTGACCATATCTTTATTGTAAAGTCCTTTATTTTAGATAGTTGTCCTTTAAACTTATTTGTTTCTTCAAAACTCGATTTTTTATCCTTTATTTTCTAATATTGTCCTTTACTGTCCTTTATTTTACGGGAAATTCTTTTCCGAGTTCTTTTTTTACTAGCGTTCTAATGTTTAATATTAATGAGCAATTTTTACGGAAAATATTTTACAGTTTCATACATATAAATACAATTTGTTTTTATTAATTTTTTATCTTAATTTTTAAAATTAAATTTATTCAAACTACAATTGTTTTCATTTTTTATTATTTCGAAGTTATTTTGTTATTTCTTTTGTTATTTCAAAGATTTGTTCCAATACAGTCGAATCATGCAGAAGTAGCATTTCAAACTATCAGAAAACTGTGCAATTTATTTACGCTGTCCAATAAAATTGTATAATCCACAGATTTTTGACAATTACAAATTGATTTGAAAACATATAGGAACAAAGTCCTAATATTTTTAAATTTGTCCTTTATTCTCCTTAAGAAAATATGATCACCGTAATTATAAACGAGTTTATAACAATGTTGTGCTGTTGATTTGAAAAATCATGAAGTGTCAGAACTATAAAACAGTATTTATAATTTATTCGTGATCGTTTTATCATATATATAAGAATTAATTGAATTTAATATTTAAAATATTGAGAATTATTGTGCATGATTATATTGTCAGTAAATTCTCTCTTGATACATTAAAATTATCAAAAGTAAACAAGCATTATAAAAAATTAAGATTATGTGGTAAATTGCAGACATAAATTACGTACGAATATAGCATTAGATTAAGAATAGTAAAGAATTATAGTATAACACGATGATGTTTTCTTTTTTTTTTATGAACGTCTTTCGATTGAATGATAATTCTTTTACAGATAATTATTTTGAACAATTTAACAAATTTTAAAAGTTAAGTATCAAAATAGATAGCCTATTAAATTTTTTGCTATATATTAGGTTGTCCGGAAAGTTCGTGCCGACTAACCTATATAATTTAATAAATGTATACTAAAATTTAAATCTTCTGCGTTTCAATTTTCCTTCAAAATCGGCACGAACTTCCCGGACAACCCAATAAAATAGAAGAGTTTTCGATACGTATATCAGCAATGAAAATATACATATATATATATATATATGTATATTGTACGTTGTAAACGAAGTTATATAGAGGAGATCGGATGTTGTTGGCACAGTTTTCACAATTACGGCATTAGATTTTTTAAACGATTAATTATTATGATTAAAATATATCAATATGATAGAGAGAACCTTTTTCTACTTTTTACCTTTTTCATATCAGTAATATACTGTAGTATAGTTCTATACACTGTATGGTTTTTTTGCAATGAAATACATGAATGAATGAAATACAGAAATGCTGCATTCTAGTTAACTTTCATATGTGAGGTAAATTGATACATATTGCAGTATAAATTGCCTCTATAATAAACTCTACATTAACTTAACAAAAACGTAATAAAAAAAGTAATAGAAATAAAAATTAAATAGTAGATATATAGTTCTTAGTAAAACGTATCTTTCAAAGTTATTTTGTAATGTGATCAAATAATAAAATGTTGTTACAGAAAAACTAGTGTAAATTATTTTAATTCTATCTTGTTTTAATATATAAATTTTATAAATGTAAAGTGTTTTGTCAGAGTTAAATTGTAATTGAATGTTCACACGTGCGGTACAGCGTTAACTCAAACTCTTCTTATGATATGAGCCAACGTCCCATCCCTGCACACGTCTGATCATTTTATTATTAAATTATCATTGTTACTCAAAAAATATATTGCATATTAACAGATACTGTTCTTTTAACTAATAATCTATAATATAGATCGCTTAGATTTTTCCAGCAGAAGGACATTAATATGAAATTATGAAATGCTCATAAATTTACTTACTGCTCTTAAATCAGACTTTTTTCTTTTTCTATTGTATAATACTTGTTTGATTTAAATGAAATTTAAGGAGAAGTATTTGTGTTGTAAAAAAAATATTTTGCAGTAACTTTTCCATTGTTTCCTTCATCATAAATAGAACGCAATGCCAATCCTCTTATGCCAACGAGCCCCGGTCTCCCTTATTTATTATAACGAAATATGTAGAATATAAAAATATATAGTATACGGTATATATAATACAATATATGCGCGCGAAATTCAGATACATCGGACATTCAGTACTTTGAATATTTACAACCTCCATTTTCATCGAAGGAATGTGAATTCGTTTTTCAATACGAGACGCCACTCTCGTTTTAAAAATGAGAAAATTATAGCGGCTTCTTTTCTTTACGTGTCTAAGAATGCTGGTAACAAAGCTGTGACAAAAAAGTAGTGTGACGTTGTAAAGGACAAGAAGAAGAAGTAGAAGAAAGATATCGCATCGCAAAATGAGAGCATTAACTGTAACTTCGGCCTAGTAGTAGTCCGTTCATTTTCTTAGCATGTTCCGTTATATGTTCTTAAAAAAAAATTCTATTTTCCCACAAGCAATCTCCTCGCGGTTTCCGCACGTGCATCATTTCTTTTTATAAGACGAAAGAGAAAGAGAGAAAGAAGCAGGCGATAGCTCTATATGCGGAATTGTGCGCAAATATGTTTTTCTTTTTTAAATAAATACCAACCATTGCTCGGATTTAACATGAATAGTGTAGAAGCACTACAACAAGTCATCTGCTATAAATTGTTTTAATCGCCAGTTGTCAATCATGTTAAGGAGATCCTAAAGACGATTAGTTATATTGAAAGTAGCATTTACACATTAGACGATTTACGTGTCATTGACACATTAGTACATCAATATCTCACTCATGAACGTCACATATACAAATTAATTTTCGTATAATAATTATGTTTTAATTAGATATCTAAGTCCAATTTTAATTTCACACTGTGCCATGCAAACTACTAGTCTGTGGACTACTATTTCATAAGTACAGATTGTACAGCTTTTATATGAAGCAAGTGTTGTCGACGTGACTCTGAAGCGTCATAGACTAAGAAATGGTAAAGGTTTCAATTTCGAAATTTTTTGTCGTTTCAGTATAGATTCCATCTCACAGACACGTATTAATGTGTATACTTTAATCCTGCAGGATTTTCAAATCAGTAAGAAAAGAAAAAAGTAATTGTTATACAAAAATTATATGGTTTAGTCGGTAATACAAACAACTTTAGATCCCCTTAAGAATATTGGAGTGATCAACTTATATCGATATTATCGAATTACAGTCGTATAAAAATCTCCGAATTGACTGAATGGAATCAAAAATTCTTTTGCAGGATTAAAGTAGGCGTAAAATTAGGAAGTAATGCAATGGACTTTATATCAAAATTGAAAAAAGTTAAACATTTACTTAACTTTTCTCGATTCTGATATAAAGTCTATTGCACCACCTTCTAATGATTTTTGATTCCATTCAAATTGATTTTAATCTCGGATTAATTTTTTTTTATCTTTTTCTCTCTAGTCTTAAGAATTAGAAAAAAATAAAGACTAAATTAAAATTAATAGACATTGGTAGAAAAAAAGGACATAAGGACATAATAAAAAAGGTCTATTTACAGCAAAAATTGAAAGGTAACGGGAAATAAATTCCTTTTTCAACTAACATTTACATAAACGGGTCGTGGTTATTTTAATGTTTCGCGATTCCATCTTTTAAAAATCGCAATGATAACTGCGTTGATTGTCGCGCACATATTAGACATAATTATTAGCTGCATAATTATTCGGCAAAAAATATTAATCAATTAGCGCTTAATGATTCTTTAATATGATTGGTTTTTGCCTTTAGTTCTTCGAGAGCTAGAGCAAACCAATTATATTAAAGAATCACTGATTTTCTTTGCTGAACGCAGCTAGTGTACGTTCAAAGAATCGCAGCGCTCACGCTCGATCGATGAGTTAAATGCGATCTCCAGTAAGCACGTGCTCGACAATAGGCATTTTAATTCCCCGCAAAAAACGTTGCACTAAACTCCGATAGGTCAAGAATTACTCTTGTCGGATGACTAGTGCTGGCTACTCTCCTGCGAAATTTAATTAATTATGCGCAATCGATTTCTTTCAGTCGTTCTTTCCTTTTTTTGTTCCTAACCTCATCGTGAAATTCATAATCGACTGTTGCGGCTGTTGCGGACATTAAATTGAACGAGAATCGCACGCAATGATCTAAAATGTTTTCATTGAGAAATTAAGAATCTCTGATAATATATATGGAGATAAATAGGGAAATTAGAAACTAACAAAGACAGTAGGTTCTTAATTGAAAGATTCTTATGCAGAAATAATGAAGTATATATTGCCGATAGTTTTTGACAAAAAAATTTTCGTGTCTTTACATATGTCATCATAATTTATATAATCATTAAAGCACTTTACCTTGAGATGTCAAATTTTTAAAAAGATGTATTCATAGCATGCTCGAAAGAAAACTTTGCTTGAGGATTTTGATATATGCGCCTTTAAAACTTTCATAATAGCACGTGTGTGATTACTTATACAATTAACGGAGTGCTCGATCTCAGATACGTCAGACATGTACGGCAGAGAAACAACGATTTCGCTG